AGAGGGGCCGGGATCGGCCCCCCTGAGGTTCCTTTGTAAAAGCACAATACGCGGGAACATATGTTGTTCTAACATTACACTTTTTCGCGAATCCCTTGCAAAAAAAAGGACGAAGTGCACACGCGGGCGTCGTCGCGCGCGCATGCCGAAATCCTTCAAGAACCTGCTGTGTCGGAAGGATTTCGCAATCGAGTGTCAAAAAAACATACAAAAACACATGGTTTCGCAACACTGATGTGCTAAACAAGCTTACGCGCGAGCTCTTGCGAAATCTTGAGAAAACCATAACTTTTTTTCATGATTTTCACAACATGCTACCAAACGGGCTTCGCGCGCGCGCATGTCGAAATTTGTCGAACGCCCTTGCGCGTGTGCCGTCGCGAGAATCCTCTGCAAAAAAACGGGACGAAGTGCAGACGCGCGCGTCGTCGCGCGCGTATGCCGAAATCCTTCAAACCTCATCGGTTTCGGAAGAATTTCAAAATCGTGTGTCCAAAGAACCTACAAAAACATAAGGTTTCGCAAATCAGATTTTCAACAAAAGCGTGCGCGCGCGCTCTTGCGTCGTCGTCGTCGTCGTCGTCGCTGTCCTCCCTCCTCCCGCGTCGTCGTCGTCGTCGTCGCCTACGTCGTCCTCTGTCTTTCCTCGTGTTCGTCGTCGTCGTCCTCTTTGGCGTCGTGGTCGTTTCCGTCGTCGTTGTTGCCGTGGTCGTCCTTCCTCCTCCTCCCTCGTCGTCGTCGTCGTCCGTAGTCGGCGTCTCGTCGTCGTCCCTCCTATTTCGTCGCCGTCGTCGTCGTCGTCGTCGTCGTTGTCGTCGTCGTCGTCGTCGTCGTCGTCTTCACTCCTCCCTCGTCGTTGTCGTCGTCGGCGTCGCCGTCCTTCCTCCTTCTTCGTCGTTCGCGTCGTCGCCGTCCTCCCTCCTCCCTCGTTGTTGTCATCGTTGTCGTCGTTGTCGCCGTCGTCGTCCTCCCTCCTCCCTCGTCGTCGTCTTCGTTGGCGACGTCGTCGTCGTCTTCGTCGTCGTCGTCGGCGTCGTCGTCGTCTTCGTCGTCGTCGTCGACGTCGGCGTCGTCGTCGTCGTCGCCGCCGCCGTCGTCGTCGGCGTCGTCGGCGGCGTCGTTGACGTCGTCTTCGTCGTCGTCGGTGTCGTCGTCGGCGTCGGCGTCGTCATCGTCGTCGTCGTTGTCATCGTCGTCGTCGTCGTCGGCGGCGTCGTCGTCCTCGTCGGTGTCGTCGTCGTCGTTGTCGGCGTCGTCGAAGTCGTTGGAGACGTCGTCGGTGTCGTCGCAGTCGCTGTCGGTGGCGTCGTCGTCGTTGATGTCGCTGTCGTCGTCGGCGTTGCTGTCGCTGCCAAGTGCGATTTGGTACCCACCGTCACGGTCTTAAGAAATTTTGCAAACCAAGTTGCGGGTGGGTGGGTGGGATGTTTGCGCGAGCAGTGGAGGTCGTCAAGCGCGGTGCAGGGTTGTCAATTGCACCACATAGCTTGCACCTCGTAGCTCATACCACATACAGTGCACCACATATATTACACCGCATAGCTTACATTCCATAGCTCACATCACATCAATTTCACCACATTACGTACACCACATAATTCTTACCACCTATATTCTCTGTCCAGAAAAAGAACGGGTTCGACCGTCCTCCTGGGAGTATCGACGCCCCTCTTCGTATCAAAATGTTCTTACGATTCTGCCCCATCGTCCATCCGAAACATGAATTCATACCATCCCCGCCAAACCCGTACCGCCCCCCCCGTCATCCTATGCAACAGATGCTATGCACGCACAGTCTTTTATCAAACAATCACAAGTTTTCAAGAATCCCTTGCAAAGAGGGGGCGGAGTGTACACGCACGCGGCGTTGCGCGCGCATGCCAAAACTGTCAAAAACATGCGGTTTCGTAAGGATGTCAAATACGAGTGTCCAAACAACATATGAAACACATGGCTTGCAACAAGGATTTTCAAAACCGAAGAACAACGTGCGCGTTTTGGCGAATTCTTAAGACAACCATCGGCTTTCAATATTTCCACAACATGCTACCAAACGGGCTTCGCGAGCGCGTGTCGAAATTGTTCGAACGCCATTGCGCGCGTGCCGTCGCGAGAACCTTCAGCAACAAACGGAACGAAGTGCACGCGCGCGCGCCGTCGCGCGCGCATGCCAAAATCCGTCAAAAAATCTTCGTTGTCGTAACGATGTCAAAGCCGAATGTCCACAAAGCGTGCAAGACACATGGTTTCGCAACATCAATTTTCAAAAAAAGCGTGCGCTCGCACTCATGCGAACTCTTGAAAAACCATTGGTTTTTCAACGTGTTCATGGAGTTCTGCCAAGCGGGCCGACATCATTCGCACTTGCGCGCGTGGGGGGGGGGGGCACGATCCGTGTCAAATAGCAGCATGCGGGCCACTCTCCCGCGCCGGCCGCGCGCGCATGCCGAACTCTTTCCAAAGCCAAAACCTTCATCACCGACGCGAAGACGCCGTCATC